TCATCGTCATCCCTAGTGCACATTGGGAAACGTGTACTCCCACCGACCGCCTCAGAAACCTAGTTAAGGAAAATAAAGCAAGGATAGACTGAGAGGGACTTTCTCGGTACTGATTTATTTTATCCATTCTCGTTCTGTTGCGTCATCTATGGCGACAAGGTCAAAAACCCTATAGAGGTGATTTCGTGCTCACCAATACTTCGAATCTAGTGTGGTTTATCCAGCTTGTTCAATGCTAACCAATTTTGTATCCTTCCTTGTAGAGGTTGCCGCTTCTGAAAAAGAACGTCTTGAGCAGAAGCAGCGCCGTGTACGCAAGGCTGCTGAGAACAGTGTCAAGAATCCAGGTTCCACTGCCACTCGCGGCACGTCGTCGAATTCATTCGTGCGGACAGTAGATGGAGGACTTAGTTTGTCCGCCGTTTCAGGTAGTACGTTTAACGTTCCCATTCATGACCAGCCGGTCGTTGGGCCCGTCTGGTTCACGCTGGGTATCAGTGAAGTGACGAAACAGGAAGACTGGTTATTTACAGGATCTTACTGGTTACGCGATTGGTCACGGTGCCCCGATCTATACTAATCATGAACCGTCCCACCTGCTACTCCTCATGCTAGCTGTACACCAGGTCTTTCAACCAATCAATCAACCAATCGTTTCCGCCCACCGACCACGTATTTATTTCCACTTTATTTTTTCATTCTATTAATTCACTTGTGTTTCTCATTTCTGTCAGTAGTCTCGCTAATGTCACAAGCGAAGCGCCTCAGCCATTTCATACTCCTGTGCATTTGCTAGAGTGCAGTTTATAATTTTGCTTTGTCTGTATATCATTCATAGTTGCCTACTTTTGGTTATTTGAATTTCGGTTCCCAGGGTTGCTCTAGTGAACAAAATGCGATTTTCGTCGAACACGATGGTAGTACATATCGTTTTGGTATTCTCCGACACTTGAGTGGACCATTCGTTCTGTCAGTGAGACCAATCTATACTAAAAAGCGGAGAAGCAGTGTATAGCTGTTTTATTTCTGTTGGGATTCGGCAGCAGTGCGCATTTGACGAAACTCCAGTGGATGATTTAGAATCAGCGACGTAACAGCTAATAGTCTCAACTCAACAATTTGGCAACAAGCGGTTACTCAGTGTTGCGATCAATTCGTACTTAGAGAGGATATAACGCCGCTCATTCCTCAACCACGGAACGCACATCATGTGGCCACCCGTGTAGACTGGCTCGCCGAGTGGTGACTTTCCAGATGGATGTTTTGCTAATTGGGCGAATGCTATTCCTTCTCTGAGTTTGCTAGTGTAATAGGATTTAGGAATTTTAATAGATTTATCTTCAGCATAATCAACTTTCATTCCCGGGTTACGATCTCCGTTGAAATATGGAAGGATTAGTTTGGTTCCCTCACTTTTGCCGTATTCCGGAATTACAACTCATGATTGCGAAACGAGTGTAGTATAGAGTTATTCGTCCAGTCATTCTCGCGAAGATAAGCTTTTTATTATCAGAAGAGCTAGTAAAACTCCATCGAAGCTAATTGTGGCAGTACCGGTCAAAACGGCTGCCATGGGTCTCATGATTCGACCTCTGTACGTTGATTGAAATGTAGCCAAAGTTTGCCTCTGATGGAGCAGCAGCGTAGCTGATCATCTAGGCACAAATCTTCGGTGGTAGCTGCCACAAAAACGGTCAGAGATCAACAAGTTGACAGGAAGTGGTAGCTGTTGTGAGTTTTATTGCGCTCACTGACCATGAGGTTTCTGTGAGCTGGCTTGGAACAGGGCTTGGTTAACTAGCTTTTTATAGCCCAGTGTTATTACTTTGAAATTAAGACCAACTTTAGACAGACCAAAGGAAGGCGCCTGGATATCTGCTTTAACAAGTTTTAAATGCAACACCCTTTCAGCGCCTGTTGTCATGCCACCCGAAGGAAGCACGAGGGCTGAGATACTGCCAGTTTGCCCAAGCTTAAGCAGGAGCAATCGAGATACGGAGGTAGGCTTCGATTCCTGGACCTTCTGGTCAGTAAGTCCGCATGTTAACCGATGAGCTACCTGTATTGCATGTTGGACTTTGGCCGGACTTCCGTATCACCCGACAGTTGGGGATTGGAAGGCGTTAGTTTCGCGACCCAATGCGATTTTCAACGGTCAGATAATTGTTTTCTCTCAAGAGCAGCAAAGTTTCTGGGTTGGAATAATGAGAAAGAAACCAGGATGCGTCATCATGCACCGTTGCAGAAAATCTCGAAAGCCTACGACTGCTTTCGCTCTTCTTTGGAGCTCATCCAAACAGAGGATATCAGAAGCTAGAGTTTCAACTGGGATTCGGTTCAGTCTCCCGCTGAAAGCCATTGATCGTGAAAAATGTGTGCATTCCTCAAAATAAGGTCACTTTACTGGCTAATACTGATTCCTATCAGTCAGACAGTCGTTGTTCCCTTGGAGGAAGCAAATTTCTAGAAAACTGGACGCCTCTTCGTACAAAGACGTACCAGGTGTGTCTCGGCGGATTTCGTTTGGATTAAAATCCTCGCTACCTGATGTTTTAACTAGACAATGATCTATTTATGATGTGCATTTCTCATCGAGGGCGGTGTATACGAGGAAGGTTGTTGATGGAAATGGAGTTAGAAAACCGAGACCAAAACAAACGGGCAACTGATGAATTGAAGTTCGAACTCAATTGTCGACTCAGCCTAATGGGATGCTAAGGTGGAAACACTGGTCTGAGGATGTGTTAGGTGCAATTCTATCTTGTCCAACCACTACTTCATGGCTCCAGGACGTGATATCTCAGCAAATTTTTGTGTTGTTTGCAGCAGCCGACCACAACTATTGTGATAAAGTTTTCGCTGATGTTGGGTTCCTTTCGGATGCTACCTTGCAAGAGAAACAAAATGCAGACAGCACGCAAATAAAACATAAATAAGTGGATTTGACGGAAATTCGGGGACTGCGTTTATCTGACGAGCCACAAGAAAGACAAAATCGGTCGGGAGCTGTCAATGAGTTTTCAGCAGCATCATGAACAAAACGATATGTCAAGAAAATACGGGAACAGTTTTCGACGAATGCATTCATTGGCACATCGATTTGGTTTTGACGGAAGCCTCGCCTACGCTATCGAGGAGTTTTCAGCGACCTTATATGTATTACGTCTATTTAGTAGATACAGTTTATTTAACGGAAGGATGCTGCCAAACATACGATAGCTTGTCCGAAAATCTCGACCCTCTAGTCGGACCAGGGACTAGGAACCGAGGTGTTGTTGTGTTGTGTTGTGGTTTCGAAATACTTTGGTTTGACTGATCACTCTGTGTGGTATTTTGCGTAATCCTACTAAATGGTTCGACGTATATGGTATGAAAATCGTTCGCTCTGCTTGGCTACTTTGTTCCTCACAATTTGCACTCTTATCGGTCCATTTAACACGGCGGCACAACATCCTGGCTTGTTAATGTAGCACATCCTGTTGATACCAGTTCCTGTCCATCCGCTAGTTTTGTTCCCTTTTGTTTGCCCGATTAGTTCCCCACCTGAGTTATTCGGTTTCGTGTGTAGAGTATTAAGGGTGAATCAATTGGATCAATAGCAGTATGCTTTTTAATTACTTTTTATGTATGGTTCCAGGTAAAATTCTCTCTATATGAGTTGCACAGTTTTCTACCACAAGTACTTTTTACTACTAACGTAGTTGCGCAATAAGCGCCCTTAAATAGCACACTCAGTGGAATTTTGTAGGGCTAAGGAATGAAAAGGGGTTAAAACAATTGCAAGTAGAGACAAGACCATAGTCAAGACTCAGACTAATCGTGTCAAATTTATTTACCGGGATCGGTCTAAAATGAAAACATCAGTAAACTGTTAAAGGAGAGCAAATTGTGGACTAAAGTTGTCGGTTTTCCAGGCAAAAGTTTCATCACCAGACAGCCTACATACAACAGGCTGGACAAAATGACAAGTAGCTCCCCGGATCTGACGTTATGATGGTAAACGCATATAGCACCCCATTCAACTGGTGAAAATACCAGCACTCCACAATCTCATATCACTTTCTCTTCAAGCCCTAGAAACCAACCGTCACGATTGTGCCTTAGACTGTGTAGTAAAAAACAGCGCCGGGGGAAAGTGAAACCTCTGGTATTAGCAGGGAATTTAGTTTCCCGGATCATTTGTGTTCGCCCAGATCATAGCCCCAGGGAACAGTAAACAAGCAAACATTCAAGGTAGATTACCCCGAAATAGACGCACTGGTCTGTGTCTAGGGCACGACAATGTAGAAAACGTTGCAACGAATGGAACCATGTGTATATTGGTCTACATCTTACCTTGGCTATTTGTAATCCGACCTTGTCAGAAGAATAAAGCAGCTTATGATTACCTAGGAAGCTTCGGTTGGGGAACAACTTGTGTTATTAGCAAAAAAGGATAAGAAGAATACACATTATGACTCGGAATACCAGTACCCGCCGACGTGAATCACTTTGGTTTCCAAATTTGTTATACATTTTTACAACCATGCTACCGTTGTAAGTGTAAAGCCGCACACCAGATGAGCTATTATTAGGGTAGTAAATCACACCAAATTTGGTCCACGTTTCGAGAAGTCACCCGAATTTAAGACCATATCTAGACCATATCTCCCCTAATCGCCAGAATGCCAGAATGGTAACATTGGGAGAATAGGCGCCCATGGGCGTAGGTGGTAATTTGGTTCAGTACACCTTGCTTGCGAGTAGACGCAAAATGCTCCTGACCCAACACCGAGAAGCATCGTTTCTCCTATGCACTTCCGCTTCAAAATACGTTTGCTGTGTTCAGAAAGGGTTTCCGAGCACCGATCACCCAGCTCTGTGGAAATAGGACTGGCAGCTAGCGCTACAATTTCCACACACCAGGTTTGTGGTGTGAGCAACATGTGGGTAGACTTAAATGCAAAACATTGTCCGTCTACCGGGAAGATCAGTAGAAAACTTTGCCATGGGGTGGTTTATTAATTCAAGCATATATCAGCTGCAGGTGTGAAAGGATCATCAGAATCCTGGAAGGAGTGGACTAAGGTCATGGAAACTACGTAGTCGATGGCAAGGGCTGTTTGTCGTTACCGACCACCGGGAGAATATCTATACAAATCAGAATGATCGGGGATCGAAAAGAGTAAATAAGACGCAGTTTTTTGTAAGTGACATAATAAAATCCAAGAGCAACCTAGTAGACCCGTTGCCGAAGCCGACCTGGCGGAGGGAAAGGAAGATTGGTGGCATGCGAACGGCTTTTAAAGGGGGAAGGCGTGACTGGGGCATGCGAGTAGTATGTTTTCTCGTAAATCCCCTTTGCGTTTCTTGAAAACTGAGATCTATTACGGAATTTGTGGAGTCGCTTTGTAGCATTTGCTTGGATTTGAGCAACAGTCAATGAATAACCAGGAAAGTTTAGGGAGACGCATTTGAGGAGAAGATGGATATTCAGTACTTGTAAACAAGACGCATATGAGAGTTCTGCCTCCCTGTCCAATAGTCTGTAACTGGTCAGTTGGCATTTTTTAATGAATAACTCCGCAGCGAAGGTCGTCTTTCTTTCACTGGTAGCGAGGTCTTTCATTAGAAATGGAACAAAATAGTAGGGGTTCGACAATCAGCACCGGAGAGTTCTCACATTATTTCACGTAACTGATATATGTCATCAACTGTCAGGCGTAACACCAACCAGTAACCCTCACTGTAAATCAATCTCTTGTTTCAATTTCCTAGGCAAATTTTCTTTGCTCGAGCTGTACAGCCAAATTTGCACGAATA